AATGGCGAAGCTGTTGATTTTAGTCGGCTTTAAAAAAAGGACACTTTGCTATTCTGACCTATAAAATTAATCTAATAAGAAATCAAATATTCTCCAACTAATTTTCTTTCTTCTTACACACATGAAGAATTTAGAAAAGCTATTACTAGTTTTAAACTTCTTCGAGCTCAAAAATACTTGAGAATTCAAGTTTTCAAATAGGTTAAAATTTGTAATAACTCTCCAATTTTTACATGTATGATAAGTATCCTAAGTGGCTTCAATTCATTCGTGCAAAACATCTATACCTTGTTTATTAAACATCACTAAAATAGTCATACTATTACAATTAGAGTCCTGCACGGGTACTACTTTTCGCACCCGGACCCGGCCCGGCTCATTTTTTTCAAACCCGGAATCCGACCGGACCCGGTCATCTTCCACCCGGAACCGAACCGGACCCGGATAGCTCTACCCGGTACCCGACCGGACCCGGCCCAGCCTTGAAATAGTCAGCACTTGATTGTTATTGTCAAAATTATATTCACTTTTCAAACTTTTATTTCATATGGCAAAATATACTATTATTTTAATTTCATCAAGTAACAATTTGTACCCGGACCACAGTTCCGGGTCCGATCGGGTGTCGGGTATCCGGCCCCGTTGCAGGACTCTATCCTAGAGTGTAAAATACTTTTACTTGTTAAGATGTCATCGACTACCGGTCGGGTACCGGGTATGCTCAAATTCTGCACCCGACCCGGCATTTTTTTTTATACCCGGCACCCGAACCGACCCGGCAAATTTGTACCCGGACCACAGTTCCGGGTCCGGTCGGGTGCCGGGTACCCGATCCCGTTGCAGGACTCTAATTACAATGCATCATTGTATATGTTTTTCACCAGCAATCTTTCATTTTCTTATGTTCCTTATCTAAAACGATAACTGGCAACTGAGAAGGCTGAAAAAAACCCACATAGAGTTTATATTAAATGAGTCAAGGTGCAACATACTTTTTATTGGTACATCATAAAAAAAATCTCGTAGACAATCGCATCTACATCATGAACATGTATCGTTAGCGGATATAAGTGCTCGTTTCGAGCTTTGTGCTTTATTCATTTGAAAGAATGTTACAGTTTAGTTAATGTCCAATCGCTGTTATTAGCCGATCGAATTGACACATTTTTGAATCAGTTAAACAATGGCGTAAGAATGTTTATAGAACAATGGATGAATTTTATGGAAGAAAATACCAACAGTTTGAACAAGTTATTTATGAAAGAAAAAACAAACAGAGAAAAGAACTTTACCGATTGCGAAGCAATGTACATATATTCATTGTATGTAGGTGTAGCTGTGAATAGACGAAACGATTCACACCTATACTCTTTATTTTCAATTAGAAATTTGGTACGACTTTTACTCATTGAAAAGATAATTCTATAATCTCATCTAATATACATAGGATGATCGAAAAATTCCCGAAACTTCAGTATATTTATTTAAGGAAATGGTTCTCCATGAATCTGCCTATACCATATATTCGAGGTAGTTGTTGTGATATTCCATGGATTGACCATCTTAGTTATTGTTTGAATTTCGATAGGTTTTTGAGACCTCTAAAGTTTCGAACTGTTGAACAGATATTATTAGTGGTTATCAGACATTGATGTACTATCGCAATATTAGATGAGGATAATTATCAAATCGTAAGCTACAGGACAGATTCATCCTATAAGTGACGTTTATTGATAAGGATACGAAAAACAATAATATATGTCAGTCAATTGATGATATTCGAATTATCATCTATTAAGGAATTCCATCTATATTAATGATAAATATTTAAGTTGGGAAAAAAAATTGTTATCGAGCAAAAAAATACATCGTCACGATCTAGTTCGTTCAGTTTTCATTATGTTATTTATTGGGCAACACATAAAATAGTGCCATTATTTACTTATATATGAGAGAAATCAAGATGACACTAACCAAGAGTATTAAGCTTAGAATAGATTTTCAAAATCTTAGTCATTAAGATATATTAATCAGCTGTTACAACAATTTTACAAAGATTATAACCAAAGAAGTTAATTTACTTCGAAAGGATAAAATATCACAGTAACTATGTCGAATATATGACGTTGAAAGATGTATGAAATGTCAGTTACTTAAATAAATATACTGAAATTCCGACATATTTTAGACGATCCTATGTACTTATAATATTCAACTTTAATGAGCAATATTCTATGATAATAACTAGATTTTTAATTAAACCTGATTCAGTTTGTATAGTTTGCTTTTAAATTATAATTATGAAATAAAGAATAGATCATTTGTGGTGTTTACGAGGCAATAGCAATAAAATTAGTCCTTTCAATAATTATAGTGTGTTGATTATTGTTTTTCTATATAATTTATTTTGTATCAATGATATTAGTAAGATACGAGTTATTGAATAGAATCTTTTCCAAATTTCATTCATTCATTCAAACATGATAATATATTTTTCCTTGTGATAGTTGTTAATTATGATTACTTTTAACAATAAAATGAAGTGATTTTATCGAATAAATGAAAAAAACAAAAATATTCTATCTAAAAAGCTTTGAGTGAAGAATATAATTGAAAATCTCTCTGTTCAAATTATAATTCAAATAAAAATAATTGATGTATGTATTTAAAAAAGGAATTTGAATTTCTTAGCCAGATTAGTTCGTTAAACTTTTCGATTAACATCGTTCGTTTAAATAGTGAAGTGCACATATGTTTCTTCTGATTTTACAACAGAAATTAATTTTAAAATTGATTATGAAAAAATGCAATGTGACGCTAACAAAAATTAGGAACAGTAAACTATTTGAATATATAATAAAAATAAGATTTATCTATATAAGTAATTATTCAAAAAAAACAGGATTTTGAAAAGTGAATCCATCTACGATGGCCAATATTCATTTGTTTATATGTAGAAAAGATATATGGTAGATGAATGCAATCTGTTATGGTTATGATCAAAAAACATTTTCTTCTATAGCAATGTTCTAGTCTTTTTTCCTATTAGAAATGTTTTTTGTTTTGTTTCATATTCAACCAAAGTAAACGTAAAAATACAAATCGTAACAAATAGAAACAATGGAATATAGATATAGACAATAGGGTGTGGGTGTGGGTGTGGGGTGGGTGTGGGGTGGGTGTGGGTGTGGGAGGGTGTGGGGTGTGGGTGTGGGTGTGGGTGGGTGTGGGTGTAGGTGTGGGTGGGTGTGGGTGTGTGTGGGATGTGTGTGGGGTGTGGATGTGGGTGTTGTTCTAATTCCACACCCACACTCCACAGCCACACCCCACATCCACACCCACTCACAACCACACCCACATCCTACACCCACATCCACATCCACACCCACTCACAACCACACACACACACCCTACACCCACACCCACACCCC